AACTTTCCGCCCGCCGCAGTATACACTTCCTAGCACGGCTCGTTAGCAGGACATCTGCAAGACCTTGGATCATCATGTTCTGCCAGAAAGTTCTTCTTATTGGAGGCCCGGTGGAAAATCAAGGAAAGACACCCATGTCGAGGGTGCAAATAGATGATAAATTCAGCCGAAAATCCAAACCGTCAACATTCCCGCAAAGCATTTACTGTGTTTGTCTGCCGTCCTAATATTGAAATAAAGGCTACTACTAATAAACATCCTGTATGACCCTAAGTACTTGACACCTTGGGAATTGGGGAGTTCAGTTTATCAGGGTCATGCGGGGTTTCCTAGTATCAAGAGCATTACTTGCCCAAACCATGGGAATCATGGTGCTGCCTAAATCAAACTCATGCAGGACTTTGTCCACTGCCGGGCCTTCCACCCTAAACTCTGAACCTAAATCCCCCCTTAGGGTTTAGGGGGCCCTAAGCCCCACCCATTAACCTGCATGGACAGCCAACCGGAAAGTCTGGTACCTCATCGGTTCAACTTGGGGTTCTACGTCCAAAAATACCGGATTTAAGCCCCAGAGCCTTAGTAAGAATGTAAATTCCAAGGAATATTCAGAGAACCGGCCTCATTAGATTAATGATGATCAATGATCCTACGCGTTGTCGGGAGAATGTGCGGGGTCCCATCTTCACGAAGAACACCGCCACAATCAAACCTGGCACTCTTACCAATCCAAACCGCAATGGTCGCACCAATGCCGGAGAGAATTTTAATCTCCGGCATCCGGAAAGATAGGAAGATCACGACAATATTCATGAGAGGAGGGGCCAGATGCGAATGCCTTGCATTTGAATCCATAGCGGGATGGCGCATGACATCTTGCTTGACGGTGTAGATCTTGCCTTGCTGAGGATGCACGATATGAACAATCTTGCCCCATCTTACCAGCATCTTGAGCATGCGGAGCAATGTGGGCCTGACAAGCCCATTAGTCATTTCGCTTGTTGATAATGTGGTGGGTACAACGTAGCATGGTGGGTACGGGGCAGCAGCTGAGAGAGGGCGATGTTCGCAAGAAGATTCTTACTGATACTGGGGGGTTCCGGAACCTGTTGAAAGAGGGGTCATAAACCGAAACCTTAAACCCTGAACCCTAGACCCTAAACCTTCAACCCTAAACTTTATAAAACCTAACCCTAAACCCTAATTTC